TAGAAAGAAGAAAATTAAAAGTCCAATATGTTATTCAATAACATATAACTTGAAGCGTAGCCATTGAATGAAAGTGCTATTATGCTTATCCTGCAGCCACTTTGTTTTCTTTCTAAATTTTGGATAAACGGTCTTAATGTGGATCATATGTTGCCTACATGACATGAAAAATTCAAGCATTACGGTCTCAAACATATAAGATAAACATAAGAAATAATTTAAAATGGAAACTTAAAGAATAAAACTCATATGTACTCGATATAATGTAGGACTTCCTCCGTATTCTCCAAGACATATAGATGTGTTTGGTTCAACAGGTCCCAATCAACTACGCTCACTGTGCAACCTGATAATGGCTTTGAAACTCCCATCTTTTGGCTTGAAGGCACTCCAACTGTACTAACATCAGATAAATGCTCGGTACAAAACTCTACAGCTTCTTCAGCTATATACCGCTCAGTAATGCAACCTTCGGGACGAGTACGATTCTGAACATACCCCTTTAGCACTTTCATATATCTTTCAAACGGATACATCCATCTAAATGAAAGAGAAGAGCTGTATTTCCACAACATATGTGAAAATACACGACCGTTTTAGCTTTTAGTTTCATATATTGGGAACAGTTCATTGCATGTCGAGTTTGAGACAAAGTCAAGAAAGTCTCTAGGATTAACTAGTAGTTTAAAAGACTTCTAAGTCCATATGTATGTATGAGTTAGTATGTAATGCGGCCCTCTTACTTTATTTGGTTTTCAATTGAATACGTAAATTAACGAACACTAGATCCTCTATTCATATCTCAAATATTTTCTGATTTGGTTAGACTTTATTTGGTTTATCATACTTATTATGCAAATGAAATGATGTTGTTATTAACTTCCAATAAGTGATATGAACAGTTGTTATACTTTTCATACCCTGAAACTGAGTTGATTTCTATGATATAGTATTAACAGTGTACTTCTATGACATAGTATTAACAGAATTTCAGTAACAAAGCATGGTCTATAATTTGCTATATATATATAGCTGTGCACTTGAAGTTTATGATATGTAGAATGTGATTTTTACTAGGGAGATAGTTCTATGACATAGTATTAATAGTGTACTTCTATGACATAGTATTAACAGTGTACATTTTTTTTCTTCTTGTAGAGGCATTTCCTTTTGCTTTTGCGATTATTTCTGGTGAAACTGTGGACAATTGGAGGTGGTTTCCGCAAAGGATATTGGATGTCTTGCTAGGATTTTTTGGATTTTCTTTTTGAGTTTTTTGTATGAAATGGTATTAACAATGTTTTTCTATGAGATGATATTAACAATATACTTCTATGACATGGTATTAACAATGTACTTCGGGCTTGCTTTGGATTTTTTTGAGTTTTGGACTTGTTTTAAGTTAATCAGTGGCAGTCATGTAATTTATAGGAACTTCAACACTCATTTCTATTATAGTAAATGAGTTTTGGGTGTGTTTCTAAAGTGCATTCCATGTGAGGTTTTTTTATTTTTATAATATCAGCCTTTATTTTGGGTATATTACTAAAGCTCCCTAAATTTTAAGCCAATAACTTTAATTAGCCCACCCGTTAAAAAATTCCTATTTCCGCCCTTGCTTGAACACTCACATTATAATAGTTTTATTTATTTAATATATAATAAATACCATGTTTGGGTATTTATTATATATTAAGTAGATATTATCGATATTTCAGACTAGGTTGTGAGAGGATAGAGGAGAAGACCTTGTAGTTAATGCACAATTGAGATTGATGTGTTCCTTTCCATATGCATCTACTTAATATATAGTGTTGGTTGAGGCAGGGGACCCGGACATGGTATCTCGTCCACTGCAATCACCAGCCAGCGGGAACATGATTTCGATTTGGTCTCTTCCCACACCAGCATACCAACTCATGAGCTGATTCATTTTGCATATAAAACCCCAGAGTCTTCTATTATAATTGAAGAATCATTATATTTTAATGTGATGATCGCACGTGGAGAGACAAAAACCATGCATCCTATTAATGTAAGTGATATTAATTTCATGATTGTTGCTCCATGAGCTAGTGGAAAAACCATGCAATACCCATTAACCATGCAATATTCTGTTTCCATACACTAAAATTTAACAAGGTTCTCTTATGAGCCTGGACCCATATACTAAAATATAACCTATTTGTGTTTTTATTTCAACCCTCTGCTTTATATCAAAGCATATATCATGACTATATATATATATATATATCATTTTTGGTATAAATTTTATTATATAATTATATACATAATAAAAATAATAAAAAAAAAAAAAAAAAAAAAAAAAAATAAACCTAGGCTCCCATCTAGGCACCGATTACTCATCTGGGCTAGGCCTACCCGCCTATCAATTTTTCAAACATTGGTATTAGTTTTCTCAAAAACCGTATGAGAACAAAAAATACTGTAATTGAAATAAATTGTGGAGAGAGAAATATTGATTGAGTATCCGAGAAAATATATTGTAAGCATCGTTCATGTACAAGCATGAGCCAAAACAATTTTGGATGAATCATCCAGAACTGAGTTAACATCCTAGTAGTTGAGGATGTTGAGGAAGGAAACTCTGGTTTTGATCAGAGGCCTTGAAAGGTGTTCAAGTGACTCTTCTAGATCTTATAGGCACAACTCCAAATTTTGCAGTTGGTTTTGTGTGTTCTCAATGATGTTATCAGATTCTGCTGTCTTATGACAAAAAATTAGAGGCCTAAATTAGAAAGTACTACAATTGATATAAAACATGGGGAAAAAGTTAAGCATAAGCATATAATAATACTCTATTATTCAATTAAGATATTAGTTAAAAATATTACATTGCCCATAACTCCTACCCACCAAAACGATACGTATAGCTTAATAACTCTTACCCAACAAAACGATGCGTACAACGTATTCCATTAGGTCATCTTCTTCGCGTTTACCACCTGGTGCTGCTGCCGCAACCTCATGGAACAGATCCAGCCAAATCTTCTTCACTTAATTTATCACATGGTGCCGCCTAAAGCTCTCGGAAATATGAAGGATCCGCCTAGGCGCCCAGACCCGCCCAGGCCCCTCCTAGGCGCCGCCTAGGAGGCCACCAAGGCCCATTTTTTGAACACTAGCAGCATATGCATTTGTATGATATTAAAAAACCAGTTGGTAGGAAATGGAAGGTGATGAATGATTCTGACACAGACAATGTACCACATAATGAATATAAATTAATGCAAAAATATTTCATGGGCAGAGTGATACAGAACTTGTCATGGGGAGTGGGAGGCAGGCAAAGCTGGAATGCTGGATAGAAAAGCTAGCTATTCCGTTTCATATATATATATATATAGAGAGAGAGAGAGAGAGAGAGAGAGAGAGAGATGGTACAATACCACTCGTGTTCTGCATATTTTATGGTTGATTGTGCAGTGCATCCCATGACATTGTTACCGAATTGAAGATACTCATGCTATATATCATAAGTAAAATATAGGTGCTAATGGGGTTTGTGATACGGTGGTGGGGAGACAATGCATAAACACTGCTGATATAGTTTTTGGATCCAGATCGAAATCACGTTGTGACTGATTCAGCTATGTAGAGGATGAGTTGCTCTTGTCTCCCGAACCGTGTGATATATATTGAGCAGATGCCAAAAGGAAGGAAAGCAAACTGAAACACCAAATTGAACATTCAACTGCAAAGTACAAGAATTTTTGTGTCTGCATTTACACGTGAGCTATGCAATAGACCTGCAATATTATAATATAGCATATATAAATGCATTTCATGAAGAAAAGCACAAGAAAATTCAAATGCATGCATGTAACAAGGTTCTGAGTCTCTGGCACAGACAATATGTAACCACATGATTTTAATTGATTTCTTAATGTAAAATATTGTGTTAGGTGATCATTTCCATTGAATTTATATATTTCCGAGGCAGAGTTATAGAGAACTCGTCTCCATGGAGGCAGGCAAGTAGAGCTGGAATGCTGGATAGAAGAGTTATTGCCTTACTGTTATACATGTTGAATATGATGCAATACCACTTGTGTGCTACATATTCTCTAGTTTGTTGTGTAGTTAATCAGATATTGTTACCTCTTTGAAGATGCTCATCTTATATTAGATTTAAAACAGGGTTGGGTGATCAGTGGGCGATCAGCTAGTGTGGAGACAGTGTATAAACATCGTTGATTCGTTGATATAATTTTTTGATCCAGATCGAAATCGCACTGCCACTCCTTGAGTTGTTAGGTAGCTAAGTTGCTCTTGTCTCCCATACCATGTAATATATATTGAGTAGATGACAGAGGGAAACATGGCAGTGTTGGGGTAATTTCAAAGTAAGAAGTTTAGAAAATAAAAAGTTAGAATCCGAAGGGCTTAGCTATTATTACCTAGTTTATGAGTTGGAGTTAATGTGAGGTTTAGTGGGTATAATGGTTATGATTAGGTTTAATGTTGAGTTAATATTATGGCCTATAAATAGGCGTTGTATCCACTCTATGTTATGTGCGTATCAAGTGTATCAAGAGTGTGTGTTATAGTAGAGTATTTGAAGTATCAATCTTATTGAAGTTTGTCTCAAGTAAGTTTGTGTAGGAGCTCTGTGTAGCCTTCGGGCTTCACATCTCCAAAATTATGTTATTTCTTTAGTTTGTTGTATTGTATTTCCTCCTTCATACTTAGAGTGCATGTGCATAAAGCTAAATCCACCGATAGGTAGGCTTATACACCTAATTGAACATTCAATTGCAAGTACATCTCACCTTCTCTTTTCCCATAGAAGAAATGCACGGCTGCCTCTCCCTTAAACTCAAAATCACATATACATGCTCACTCTAACAACTTGCCTTCAACATCACACCCTTTTGTTACAGAATTTGAGGAGAACTTGTGCAGATTAAGGGCTTCAGAAACTCTCTTCATAATCATCCTCATACATAGTCACAAACTAAGTAGACTTCGGGATTTGCATGAATGTGTTAAAAAATTTCTCCTTTTGCCACTCACTCAACAAGCCTTGGCACAAGTGTGGAGACAAATGGATCAATGAACTACTAGATGGATCCTTGAGGCTCCTGGATGTGTGTGGCATCATTAAGGATGCCCTTTTGCAAACAAAGGAATGCATGCATGAACTTCAATCAATTATGCGCAGAAGACGAGGAGGTGACATGAGCTTCCTAAGTGAGGTTAGAAAATACCTTGCCTCTGGGAAGGATGTCAAGAAGGCCATGAACAATGCCTTAAAGGTCAGGGAAAGTAACTGCACAGACAAAAACCACGAGACTCCGGCTGATCTCGTGGTCAACATGTTGAAAGAGTTAGATGCGGTCACTGTTGCTTTGTTTGAATCCTTGTTGTCCTTTATAGCTGGTTCAAAATCAAAATCAAGCAGTTGGTCATTTGTTTCCAAGCTGGTGCAGCCAAAAGAGTAGCTTGTGAGGGCGAGAAAGTTGTGAATACGAATGAACTTGAGAAGGTAGATGCTGCATTGCAATCCCTTGTTAGTCACAAGTCAAAAAAAAATCTGATAACACAATGCAAGTCGAGGATGTGCAAATTTGGCTCCAGGATTTGGAGGCAAACATTCAAGACATTGAAGGACTTGAGTGCCTGTTCAACGCTTAATAAAAACCAGGTTTCCCTTCTCAACATATTCAGCCATTAGGCATGAAAATCATCATGCAGTATAGAATAGGCATCCAATTTTGTAGAGATTAAACAAACATACTTGTATATTAAAGAGATATATGCTTATTTTCTTTTCAGATTCAAAAGTAATATGCCCCCTTGAAACAACATATCTGCTCTCTATCTTTGCTTTGTCCATCTTTTTTTAATTTCCATACCAATGCCATAATGGAAAAACTCAAAGCTAATTCAACCAAGTGCCTGTTTTTTATCAATACTTATATTTCAACCATAATTAAGCATAAGAACATGAGGCTAGCTTCTGCCAAATTTCGTGTAATTTAATTCATCTTATCACTGTCAAGATTCCGTTTGTCTCAAATTGTGATTAAACACAGATAATAATTCTTAAGATTCACATGGTAGCTCCACAGAAGTAATTAAGAATGATAAGTTTAACACAATGTGCATGGTAGATTTAAACCTCCACATGTCTTCTTCTCTTTGTAGGGGATTGCTCCAACAAGCCTAAATTATTTCCTTGCATCATTCAAAGACAAAAAGATCGTGGCGTTTGCAGGTCTTGCTTCCTCTGAACACTCAAAATTTGATGGATTTAACAAAATTAATGTTATAATTAAGTGTTGTGTTTGCTTGTACATGTCAGCTATGCAATGGAAGTTGGAACTCGAAACATAGGGTTATGGCAAGCTGGAAACTTTCTGATAATTTGTTTAATAATGAGGTATTAGTTGCACCTTCAACCATTACAAATGCAGCTGTAACAGCTGCAGATCACCCATGATATTAGCACCAGCTGTAGTCTTTCTTTCCTAACAATCTTGTAATTATTTTGTAATCTTTCCTTGATCATAGCAAGTGTAACGCCTCCTTGATATCAGCTCTTTTGAATTTCTGTAACTAATTCGTACTCTGTATAAATATAGAGAATCTCAACACTATTTGGTGTGAGGAAATCTAAACTTTACATGATATAGAGCTTTACTGATCCCATTCCTTTTCTTATCTTCTGATCTCTATCGTTATTATTTTCTTTTCTTTCCTATTCCTATGGCTACATCAGATGCTGCATCTCAACCTAATCAGGATACAATCATCAATCCCACTTCCACACTCACTCTCAATCAAACAATGCCAATGCCTAATCCTTCACACTTTCTTTCCCTTAAGCTCACCCCCACTAATTTTCTTTTATGGAAGACACAATTTGAGCCAATTCTAATTTCTCATGACCTTGAAGGTCTCATCGATGGAACTGACACTGCACCACCATCTACAGCAGGTGCGGGCAATACCTCTCAGTCCAACCCGGAGTTTATTTCTTGGTGCAAACGTGACCAAATGCTTCGAGCTGGATTATTGCATCCTTAACTGAAGATGTTATGCCTCACATAGTAGGCACCTCCTCCTCCTTTCAAGCCTGGAAAGCTCTCACACAAGCTTTTGGATCTCCTACGAATACTCGACCCTTCAGTTACATACTCAACTTCAAAATTTCTCAAAAGGCGATCTACCAATAGCGACTTGTCTTCAAAAGGCCAAACTCATAGCCGATCAACTTGCAGTCGCAGGAAAACCCCTTCATACCAATGAGTTTAATGCTATTATCTTTCGCAATCTAGGCAACGATTATAGTGATATGGTCACTGCCATGTCTACCAGACTCAGTCCCATCTCTTATTCAGAACTCCATAGCCTACTTGTGAGTCATGAGATTCGTCTTCAAGAGCAGGCAACTTACTCCACCATTCTTCCTTCTGCTAATATGGTGTACAAAGGCCAAAATTCCAATAACACTCGGGCTTCAGCATCTCCATATTTCCACAATCATCGAAGTCAATCAAATTTCAACAACAGATCACATCAAAACAACCACAAGTCCTTTCATACTAGGTCTAATTCTCAGCATCGTGGTTTGCTCCCAACCCCACAAAATCCTTCAAATACAGCAAGATGTCAGATTTGTAATCGAACAAATCATTTGGCTGCTACATGTCGATATCGCTATGATAGGCCCAATGATGCTTCTACTCACATTGCATCCTTTCCAGCATATTCAAATAGTGATTTTAACACATGGGTTCCTGACACTGGTGCAACTAATCATGTCACTCCGGATCTTGCCAATCTCTTCATCACTAATAACTACAATGGTCTAGATCAATTGACAGTTGGTAATGGTAATGGGCTAAATATTTCTCATGTTGGGACATCTACCATTTCTAATGCCACTCGTTCTTTTAATCTATCTCATATCTTACATCAATTCCTGATAATAATTGTTATTTTGAGTTTCACCCCACTTTCTTTGTTGTGAAGGACCAGCACATGGGGAAACCTCTACTTCACGGGCTGAATGAAGGTGGCCTATATAAGCTTAGTAACATTGCCATCTCCAATAAAAATGACAGTCCCATGGCTTTCTTAAGTGAATGTGCCAATTTCTTTTGTTGGCATGCACGCTTAGGTCATCCACATCCACGTGTTCTTCGTCAAGTAATAAATGGCAATAATCTTCCTTATCTTTCAAAGGACCTGCCTCCTTGTACTGCTTGTTGTTTGGGAAAGATGTCTAAATTTTCTTTACCTCCCACTCATTCTGTTAGCTCTCATCCATTAGAACTTATTTTCAATGATGTATGGGGGCCTTCCCCAATTCCATCCATTGAAGGACATCGTTACTTTGTTTTGTTTATTGATGATTTTTCCAAATATGTATGGTTTTTCCCTTTAGTCCGTAAATCTGATGTGTGTGACATATCTCTTAAATTTCAAGGCAAAGCAGAACGCTTGTTTAATACCAAGATCCGCAGTTTCCAATCAGATTAAGGGGGAGAGTATCATAAGCTTTCTTCTCACTTTGAAAAATGTGGGATCACTCATCGAATTGCTTGTCCACACACTCATGAGCAAAATAGATCTGCTGAAAGAAAAATACGTCATATTACTGAGACAGGTCTCACTCTCCTTGCCCATGGATCTGTACCAAAAAAATATTGGCATTTTGCATTTGACACTTCTGTTTATTTGATAAATAGAATGCCTACTTTAGTCCTTCATGATCAATCTCCTTTCCAAGTTCTCTTTAATCAATCTCCTGATTATTGTTTTCTTAAAGTTTTTGATTGCTTAGTTTTCCCATATATTCGTCCTTATAATAAAAATAAATTTAATTTTCATTCTCTTCCGTGTATTTTCTTGGGATATAGTCCAAATCACCATGGTTACCGCTGCTTAAATCCCCAAACTAGCAAGATATATATTTCTAGACATGCACGTTTTCATGAACACGCCTTTCCATTTTCTGTTTCTCCAATTTCTGTGTTGCAGGCTCCAAATGACCCACCATCTGATCCTTTTTTGTTGCCTATAGAGTTCCCAACTTCAGCACGTGAAGCAAGGGTGTCCTCATTTGGTAATTCCTTCTCTCCTCTTTCATCTCCATTAAGTTCTAATGCTTCTCCTAGCTCACCAAATGTGCATTTAAATTCAAATTCCACTACAGCTTCAAATCTTGCATTATCTCCTCACAACATCTCCCATAATGATAATTCATCTATGATTCATTCCCAACATGAAAATATTGATCCTACTGTTACTAACTCCAATGGTCATGAATTATCTATAGTTTTGGCAGGTACTCAAGGAGAAAACCCAAGTCAGGGGTGTCAAAATGCTAGATACTCTCTTCACCCGAGACCAACCCCCAATCCTAAATACACTCTTCCTCATGCACTTTTGACTGAAGCTGACACCCAACATGAGCCAACTTGTTTCTCTAATGCTAACAAACAACACCACTGGCGTACTGCAATGAATGAAGAATTGAATGCCCTCATAAAAAATGGCATATGGTCACTTGTTCCCTATGATCCTTCCATGAATGTTGTTGGGTGTAAGTGGGTGTTTCGTGTCAAGCGCAAGGCTGATGGTACAATTGATAGGTATAAAGCACGTTTAGTTGCCAAGGGATTTCATCAACAAAAGGGAGTTGGTTACACTGAAACGTTTAGTCCCGTCGTCAAACCCACCACTATTCGCACAGTTTTGTCACTTGCTGTTAGCAATGGTTGGGAAGCTCGTCAGTTGGACGTAAGTAATGCTTTTCTCCATGGTCATCTTAAAGAAGAGGTTTACGTGATTCAAGCACCGGGTTTTCTTGATTCCTTTCAACCGCATCATGTTTGTAAACTTTATCGGTCCCTCTATGGCTTAAAACAAGCACCACAGGCATGGTTTCAGTGTTTGAGTTCTTCCCTTTTACAACTTCAATTTGTTGGCTCTAAAATGGATAGTTCATTGTTTGTTTTTAATGATCGAACTACGATGATCTATGTTCTTGTGTATGTTGATGACATAATCATCACAGGAAATAATAGTGCTGCCATTGGAAAAGTCATCTCCACTCTTAGCTCCACATTTGCTTTGAAAGATCTTGGTATACTACATTATTTTTTGGGCATTGAGGTGGTACCCCATTCTGGTGGATTAATCCTTTCTCAACGCAAATACATCATTGATCTCCTAAAGCGATCCCATTTGGCTGACATCAAGCCTATTGATACACCAATGGCCTCTTCTAGCAAGCTTAGCAAATCTGATGGTGAACCATTATCTAATCCACAACAATATAGAAGCATCCTTGGCACTCTTGAATATGTCACCTTAACTCGCCCGGAACTATCCTTCTTTGTTAACAAAGTTTGCCAATTTATGCACAATCCCACCAGTGAACATTGGGTTAGCGTCAAGAGAATTCTTCGATATCTCAAGAAAACTATCTCTCATGGACTTTTCCTTTCTCATGCCATTCAAGCTTTTTGTGATGCGGATTGGGCTGGATGTCTAAATGATTGCCGCTCAATTGGTGGGTTCGCTATATATCTTGGTTGTAACTTGGTCTCGTGGTCAGCCAAAAAGCAACATACTGTTGCCCGGTCCTCCACTGAGGTGGAATATCATGCCATTGCCAATACTTCCACTGAAATTATTTGGTTTAGCTCATTACTCCAGGAACTTGGAATTTCCACATCTACTTCACCTGTCTTATGGTGTGACAACTTAGGAGCTACCTACCTTTCTGCTAATCCAATTTTTCATGCCCGTACAAAGCACGTAGAGATCAATTATCATTTTGTTCGTGATCAAGTTTCTGCAAGAAAGCTTAGTGTTAAATTTATCTCCACCAAGGATCAACGTGCTGATATCATGACCAAACCATTGAGCTCCCCTCACTTCACCTTCATTATAGACAAGTTGAGAGTTCAAGAACGCTCAACTTGAGGGGGCGTATTAGTTGCACCTTCAACCGTTACAAATGCAGCTGTAACACCTGCAAATCACCCATGATATTAGCACCAGCTGTTGTCTTTCCTTCCTAAGAATCTTGTAATTATTTTGTAATCTTTCCTTGATCATAGCAAGTGTAATGCCTCCTTGATATCAGCTCTTTTGAATTTCTATAAATGATTCATACTTTGTATAAATATAGAAAATCTCAACACTATTTGGTGTGAGGAAATCTAAACTTTACATGAGGAGATCAAATAACAAGAAAAGAAGTTGGAATACAACAACCAGCTAAGGTTCACTTTCAGTTGGAGGGCAGCAATAAAAAAGTCCTTTTTTATTTATTTATAAATTTAGTTGGAAGGCAGCAATAAAAATACACATTAAAATAGGTTCACTTTTTTCTTTTTTTTTTGGTAACAAAAATAGGTTCACTTTCAGTTATGTTATTGAACATATTTTCATTTTGATCATATGTGTTTTTTAGTTACATTTAGTATGTTTTTGTTTTTTGTTTTTTTTATCAAGAGCGATAGTATTTTATTGATAAGAGGAACATAAACAAGTACAAAGCCACTATGGTGTTAAACCATATTTGGTTTATGTTAAAGCTTATTGAAAATTAGTCTATGGAGCTATGAACTAGCATGATTTATATGATTCAATGTTTACTTTTATTTCTAAAAAGACTATAGAAATTGTAAGTACCAAATAAAATAATCATTAAATTTTAAACTAATAACTTTAGCTAGCCCACCCCTTGAAAAATTCTTAGTTCCGTCCTTGATGTTCCACAAAACGATTCGTCATTCATTGGAACAAAGGAACAAGAAGTTTCAAGTTAAGAGTGTGTGGAGGAGAAGCGAGGTGAAAGGATAAAATGCAACCATTTTGGCTTTTTTGTTTTCTTTTGTGAAAATTGAAATTGATAAATATTTTGATGTGATGAGATAAGTTAACCGAAAATGCAGTCTAAATTTCTAACGGGTTGGACTAAAATCGACCCAATCCAATTCATGCCACCCATACATTGTAATTGGAATTATCAATTGTTGGGAGCCTTTTAAATTCAAATGGGTTATTGTTGAGATTATGGATGGCAATACCGCTAGAGAACAAATAAAACCTAAGTATTTTGAAATTACTCATATACATAGAAGCATCAATAAGTACAACGTTATTTCTAAATTAGAGTTTACTAGCCACAAACTTCTCTCATATATATATATATATATAGGGGCGGATCCGTGGCATCATATTTTTGACACAAGTTTTGACACAATTTTTGGGCCATTAGATTACTCTACTTTTAATGGTTGAGATTAAACATGACATAGAAAAATAATATTTTCTCTTTAATTAATATTTATACATTGGAATTAAAATTCTGATACCATATTAATTAAGAATTCATTCTCTTTCTTCTCATTAATTATCTTTAATTAATTAATTCTCTCTCTTTCTTCTACAGAGAATTGACGCCTCTCTCTCTCTCTCTCTCTCTCTTCTCCAAACCAGCTTCTTAATTAATATTTGCATTGTGGTTTCATATCATTTTCATTTTCCTCCCAAATTTCTTCCTTTCACTTTTTTTTATAATGTCTAAGAGGTGGAAGAACTGACTGTCATTTTCCTCCCAAATTTCTTCCATTCATCTCTCTCTTTCTTCACTTTAGTCACTCCATCATCATCATCCACACACTCCTGCATTCCTATTTTTCCCTTCAATCAGTAATCCTTCATAACCCACTCTTGGTATTGATCTCTCAGTTTTAATTTTAGTGAGGTATAATTATTGGAGAAATCTGGAAAATTTGTAAATGGTGGAGTTGAGAAATATTGGGTTGGCTTCGGTTTTGTGGGGGAACAATATACTTTTGGGGAATCTCTTCCTGTTTTTTTCTTCAAATTTTATTATCTATTGGGCAGTTTTGGAAAATTTGGAAAGGTGAAGCTGAGAGAGAGCTTGGGTCCTGTCAGAGAACAGTGAAGGTGCGGTTTTGGGGAGAAAAATCGCACCACGTATTGATTTCTTCTCTAGATCTAAGGAATCTCTCATGTCATTCCATTATCATAAAGTATTATCATTTTTCACCTTTTCAGTTAAATATATTAAGCAAAAGAAAAAAAAAGAGAAATCAATATATGATATGTGGGTGTTAAAGAAGCGACTGAAGAGGAAGTGATGAAACACCAGAAATAAAAGAAGAACAAAGTGTTTTTTTTTCGGGACTGCAAGAGGAATGGGGGAGAGAGAGAGAGGAGGAAGAACATGGGTGAAAATACTTTGTAAAATTTTAATTGAAAAACAAATTGATTGTGTGGGCTGGTTGATTAAAGAGAAAAAGAGGAGTAAATGCAGGGCGTGTGGGTGGAGAAATTATAGAATGGTACCGTATCACCACGTCAGCTGGTGATACTCCCACTCAAATTTTGCCATGTGTCTTATTTTTATAAAAAAAATTAAAACTCTTTATCCAGCTGGATTTAAAATTTTATTTTTACATTTTCAACTTGAAAAAAACAAAAAACAAAAACAAAACAAAAAACAAAAACAAAAAAACTGGAAGTAAAAAAGAAAAAGCAGCCCCAACCCTTCCTCGCCGACAAGTCCCCCCACCACCACAGCCTGTCATGGTTGTCGCTCATCTCCCTTTTTTTTCCCATCTTTCATATCTCTTAACCTTACAATTTCTCAACACAACCTTAAACATTAGAAGGAGGCTAGAGAATCATCATTAGTAGACCTAATAATTCCCATGGTTGATATTCTCTCTCTCTCTCTCTCTCTCTCTCTCTCTCTCAATGTAGGGTTTAATGAAATAGATTGAGGATCTAAAAGGAGGTGGGTTTATGTTATTGAAGAATATATAGGCTTCAGACGGAGGCCAATAAGCCAATAAGTGTTTGAGGAACTTGGCAGTGATAGATTTCCATGACAGTAAGTTGGGGGAAGGGCCTTCGTCGTTCAGCTTGCTGGTTGCTGCGGAATTTTCCTTTTTCCTTTTTCCTTTTTATGTTTTTTTATAAAATCTTTTTAATTTTATTTTTAAAGATACAAATAAGTGGTAAATCCAGTTGTAAACAAATTATACACATGGCAAATTTTGAGTGGGAGTATCACTAGCTGACGTGGTGATACAGTACCATTCTATAATTTCTCGTGTGGGTGATGATGATGGTGGAGGAGTCATTGAAGATAGAGAGGGATGCGAAAGGTATGAGAAAATGGGTTCATAACATTTTTTTAATATTTAAAATTGGAAGTAAAATTAGTTGCTATCTGTGCCAAGAAAGTTTTTCTCCAAGAAGAGAGATTCCTTTTTCAATAAAAAAGGGAGGAGAGAGAAATTTATTTTATTTTATTTTATGAGAGAGAATAAAATTAATGATTGTTTATTTAAAACATTAAAATTATTTGCCATATTAGATTTAATCTCAACCATTAAAAGTAGAGTAATCTAATGGCCCAAAAATTGTGTCAAAACTTGTGTCAAAAATATGGTGCCACGGATCCGCCCCTTATATATATATATATATATATGACACAATTGAATATCGAAACGGTTTTTAATTTGTCTAATTTTTTTGCAAGAATGATTTATAAATGTAGAAGGGTGTCCCTCAAATAAAATTATTTGAGGAATTCCTCAATAGAAGGTGATTGATATGTATGTATGTATATAAAGGGAGATGAACAGGAAAAACATGTCCAAAAAAGAACATGACGAGGTATGATAAATAAAGGAGATTGGGAATATGAGGCAAAAAGAGTGATAACGTAAATATAGGACGTTGGGATGTGGCAGCATGAAACATTAGTGAAAAAAGGTCAACGACGTATGAATCAAGGGAGGCGAAGAATTTTCGTCACAAAAATTGATTGAGGCGTGATTTACGCGGCGTGACGAATGAAGGAGACTATGGAAATCCTTTCTCATTGTATATCCAAAGACTTTTGACTCTACTGCTTTTTCAAAAACATAAAAACAAAATTGGATTACTCTTGGTCCCCATCAGTACTGGCATATCCAACGGTGAGGACGAAAATTGATTGAGGCGTGACGAATGAAGGAGACTATGGAGATCCTTTCCCATTGTATATCCAAAGACTTTTGACTCTACTGCTTTTTCAAAAACATAAAAACAAAAATGGATTACTCTTGGTCCCCATCAGTACTGGCATATCCAACGGTGAGGGGGATGAGGACGTGGACGATAAAGGAAAATTGATCTTGGGCTTTGGCGTGAAAGTCAAGCAATTGAAACACGAATGCCTATTTGCTTCAAGCAAAGCAACCATTATTAGGTGTGTCTGTTATCATCTTGAGGTAGGACTAGTATAAGTGTGTCTAATACATATCAGTCTCGTTCTAATAGAGGTAGGACAAATTAAAATTAATGAATAGATTAATATGTTACATATATTATATATTTGAAAAAAGGTCAAAGCTTCACCATTTTACAAAGTTTAATTGTTATATTATTAATTAAAAATAAATATATCACTTATTAAAAAATCTGGACTCATCATGCGAACCTCGCTATTTTATTTTTGTTACGATACTGAATAAATTTGTGATCTCATATTATTGTAAATATTATGTGAATAATTAATTGACTTTGAACATTTCATAGCCTAATGGTACATAGAGCAGTCTTAAAACAATATAGTAGTATTGGATGGAACTAACAATAATCTGGGCACTAACTTCTTCTCCAACTCTTTCATAAGACGTGGGAACCATGAGGTCATGGAACCACACATACGACTTATGTACGCCCTATTCTATGTGAGAAACAATAACACTTGAGAAACGAGTTGGTCTGTGTAACATATTCACTGAGGTCACTGGCAAAGGCGGGCATGCCCTCTGACTAATGCTATTTTGTGCCCTGCGTAATTCTTGCAACAGTTTAAGAACTAAGCGGTCCAAGCCTAGCCCCGCCACCGGCAAAAACAAGACGCACAAAATGAGGTAGGAGTAGTAGTG